TTCTCTGAGAGGGGATGCTGAGACAACTTATTCCTAAAGGAACTTAGACGAAAACGGCATGTTTTCTATCTATAGCTGGTACCAGGCTCCATGGACTCTTGGAATAGAGAAGTCTTGAATGGCCCTAGTATGTCACTTGGTGCCATGGAATTAGCGGAGCTTTTTCTAAGGTTAGCAGAGGAAAAGCTCCCATTGTTGCTGATGAAGTCTGGTGCCACCAAGTATTAAGAGTTGGGTGTCAGGAAGAGAGTATGCTGGAGCAAACTACAGAAAGCTCTGGAGCAGGTCATGTAGTTGGGACACTACGCATTTCTCATAAAGGCAAACTCAAGTGCAGGCTGTCCAGGTTTCACGTCCCCAGTCCCTCCCACAGCTCCCAGGCTGCTCTTCAGTGCAGGTTCTTTATGTCAGTTCTGCATTTACATGGAGAGGAAGGGAGCAGAGATGACCCCATCCTCATACTCCTTGTTAAAAACCAGAGTCCTTTTCCTGAACACATTCTCTTCAGCTCTTTGGCTTGAACTGGGTCATCTGTCCTTGAGCCATTGTCCTGCCAAGGGGAGGGGCTGCTAGGAGAATCCAGGAGTGGAAGTGGAATGGAGGTCGGACATCCCCTACAAACATCCACTGTCTTGGAGGGAACTAATGAGCATGCTTTTAAAAACAGGAGACTTCCCCTAGCCACTAGATCATGGTATTTAGGGTGGCACTTCCTTTCCTGGTAAGATGGATTGACTCAGGCCCCACTGTGCTCCTGGGTCTTAGGCCTCATGCTCATGGCTAGTGTTGGCCAAGTCTTTGGGTCCCTTTTAACCACAGTGGCCTTGTACTCCAAGGAAACTCCCTTAGCATGGGGCTTCCCCACAGCTGAGCCCTCTTGCCCAAGCAAAATAAGTGGATTTTCCTCACATACCACAAACCAGTGCTCCGTAACTAATGTGCGCGTTCCCACTTGTCCCTTTGCAAGCGTGACCATGGATCTTTTCTGCCTTCACCTTTGTCTCGGGGAGAGAAAATGATAGGAAGGTGAGAAATCAATTGGGTCACAAGAAATTAAGCTCAGTGAAAGCCGAGCAATTACACCCAGGCAAACAACCCTGCTGAAACAATTAGACACCCCCACCAAGGGAACCTGGAAAACAGGGCTTGTTTTGACCCAGAAAAGCCAAGTGTTGCCTCTGCTGTCAGTCACAGTGACTTCAAGCCTTGGGAACGGATTTAGTCGATGATGGCACTGTGACAATTTTATTCATGCACAGCTCTCAAGAGAGCTCGCGCAGGTGGCACGAAGTCGCCTTCTCCTTCCTTCTGTATATATTAATAGATAAACTAACATACCCCGAAGTGATGTGGGCACAAAATAATCCGAAATTTCTGTGTTAGGATCATGCATGTGAAGTGTGTGTGTGTGTGTGTGAGAGAGAGAGAGAGAGAGAGAGAGAGAGAGAGAGAGAGAGAGAGAGAGAGAGAGGAGGGAGAGAGAGAGAGAGAGAGAGGAGGGAGAGAGAGAGAGAAGGAAACAGAGAGAGACACAGATAACAGACACCAGGACACACACGTGCCACAAATAGTATAGGTTACTATGTGGGCTGCATTGCTCAACTATTCCAACATTTACCAAATATTTACTGTATACCAGACTGGGGGCCAAGAAAACAAAAGATAACAATCTGCATTCGTAGATACTGCCAGCTCCATTATCCCAAACCTCTAAAGAGGACTAGAAGGAAGTGAGAAAGAAGCCCAGGAAGGAGAGGTCCCAGGTGTCCCTCTCTCTGGGGCTGGCAGACAACTCTCCCTTGGCTTAATGGAGAGGAAAATGGAGGACCTAAAGGAGTTCGTCCTAACCAAGGCAGGGGGATCCTGAAATAGCCACCACGAGGTGTGAGGAATGATTCACTGAGGGCTAGGTGGCACAAGGGAGGTGTCCTCTGGAAACAGTTACCATGGGGGGAGCAGAAGGCCCAAGGTGGGCACATCAGCACTCTGGATCAGCCAAAGCAAAGTCCCTCCCACATTAAAAATGGAAAAGGCCATCTGCAAAAGCATATCTCTAAGGATATAGAATGGAGAAAATGAGAACTTTCACACATAAATGAGTGTTAGGATGTATTTTACTTGAAAAACACAAAAGTGGTAACAAAGCATAAATGTTTTCACCTCATTTGTAATGAAGGAAATGCAACCTAAAACAAAAAAGAACAGTTAAATGTGGTGGCTCCCCTCTATACTCCCCCCACTTGTGAGGCTGAAGTAGGTGCTGTGCTGTGATGAGTCCTAGGCTACCCTGGGCTATGTAGTGACATGTGGGATGGTCTGGGCTACAGAGTGACATCTTCTCAAACCCCTCCCCCAACCTCAGGTCTCCCAGCAAAGCAAATAAAACGCCTCAAATAAACAAATAAAAAATACTACTAACAACCACTCAAAGAACGATTACATTTTCTTTTGCCTATCGTCATAGTCAATTTGGAAACAGATTTAGCATGGCTTAGGAGTTGTGAGGTATGGCCACCAAAGTGAGCGAATGCCCCTGAGTTGCTTCTTCATTTAGGGAAGCATGGCATTAAGAGTTTATTTAACCTTACCTAAAAGAGGTATCAACAAGAGAGTCAAGTCAGGGGAGGTCAGAATAAAGAAGAAATAAAGAAGAAAGAAAAAGGAAGGGGGGGGGAGAAAGAGAAGGAGAGATACAGAAAAATACAGAGACACACAAAGAGGTAGAGACAGAAAGACACACACACACACACACACACACACACACACACACACACACACACACAGAGCCAGAGGGAGTCTAGCCAGTGCAGTGAGCGCCTGAGCTTGGTTAAGAGGTGGGGGACGCTTGGCCCCCAGAGAGAGAAGCCAGTTGGCCTAGAAAGAAGCAAAGCTGGTGGCTGACCCTCTGGCTTCCTGTCAGACAGGAAATGCTTCCAAGAAGCTCAAGGATATGGAAGGTCACCAACAGCCCGGAAGCCGGACCAGGTCTAATGGAGGCCCTGGTGTGGTGAGAGCTGAGTGAAACTCCCCTCCGAAACTATTTCCCAAACAGATTCGGTCTTGACTTTGGAAGCACAGTCACAAACCATGAGTTAATCAGCAGGCAGGCTGGAGGAGTGGTCCTCCTGCAAAAAGCAGCCAAATGAATGTGGGAAAGAAATTTCAGAGTCACAGATCTCATAAATCAACCAGGAAAGGGCGACTAAGAGCTGGGCCACCTCCTGGGGCAGGCACCTGCCTGGTGGGTGGGCACTTAGGAGGAGCAGCTTGGTGAAGGCTGGGAAGTCAATCAGGAGCGAAGCTCTGCCCAAGCCTGGCCCCTGGAATTTATTCCCTTTACTGAGCTGTGCCAGACACTCCTTTTAATAGCTTTTCTGCTTTGATCCCAGCCTTTCTGCTTCCACTCAGTTTCTCCACATACACTTAGACCTTCATCTTTCCACCCAGCCTTCTGCCATTCACACTGGTAAAGAGGACAGCAGTAAAGTTGAAACAAATGTGGATGCTAATTTGTCAGTTCAGCCAAGCTGACTGGACAGCTACCCACTTCAAATGAGCTAGTGACCTGGCTGCCCCAATCACTGCCACTGCCATCTTTAGCTGTAAGACAAGCCTTGAGAAAATGTCAGAGCTGGATGGTGAGGCCTTGCGTTCCTCCCAGCCCTAGGATTTCAGGAGACTAAAGATGAACACTAGGCACACAGCAAGTGATTTCCCATGATGTCAGGAGACATTTAGGAATAGCCAAGCTGACTGGTAAGTAAAACAGATGCACATTAAAGCAATAAGGTATATTTTCCTAACTCACAATTTGGGAAAGATCAAATAAAGAAATAGTACTACCTTTCTCTAGGCTGGGAGAAGAGCCAAGATCCTCCACATTGTCAGAACTCAAGTTTGTAGAGTGTACATGCATCAGAAGTCTTAAAGTGAGCCATCTTTGACCTAGAAATCCTGCTCTATGAGTTCCTAGGCAACAACCAAGGGTCCATTAAAAATTTTCATTAGAGAGAATTTCTCTTTTGTTTCTTTCACTATGCTGTGTACACTACAATCCAAAGACTGATCTGCTTTTCCTATGGCTTGATGTGATCCATTCTGATAGGTAATGGACACTCAAAAAATTCAGGACTACCATGTCCCATATGCACATCTGCCATGGGAGTTCTCTCCATGCACCCCATCCACACAGGTAGGTCCACTGTTGCTCTGGTATCTTGCTATGTGAGTCAGTGAGACCCTACCTTGAGCAGGCTGTTGTGGTCATCTATAGCCCCAGGACTGAGGGAACATTCTGTGACTTGATAGCCAAGGCCTTTTGCAATAAACTGCCTCTTCCTTCTTCCAGCCACAGAGAAAAGGTCATCCTCTATTTCTCCCTGGCAGACACCATCTACCTGCTCACTTACTGCCTCCACCTCATTTCTAACCTTTGGTCACCAAGGAGCTTGTTTCCTCCCTTGCCTTTGCCTTCTCTTCCTGGAGTCCTTTTGTCCTTCAGCTGTGGTATGCAAGAAGTGTTAGTGATGTGCCCATATACTCAAGCATGCACTGATATCCTATAGCATGTTCCTGTTCAATTTGTTTTAAGTATGTCTGTTTTTAATTTCCAAGATCCCTAAAGCCAGTATTATAATTTGTATTTGAAAGGTCATATGATATAAAAGAGTGAACAGGGTGTGTAATCAGACAGACCAGGATTTCAATAATGTGTGATGTTAAGTTTTTAAGTTTTACTTTTCAGAAAATGAAGTAATTTATTTCACAGGATGGCACTGTGAAGATGGGATCAGCCACTTGGCACAATGCATGCATCTGAGTACACGATCCGTAAATGCTCTGCTTTCCTCAACTCTGCTGCAGAACAGGGCTAAGCCCATGGGAGTTTTAGATAGAATCCTGCATTCCAACAAGTTTCCAAAGGACTCTGGAACAGTGGCTGATCTGAAGATGTAAAGTAGAAAAGCAATCAGGTTGGGTCCAGCCCCCTGGGTTCTCACCTGATAATGGTCAGTGGAATGAAGTACACCAGAAAGGCCACGATGGTCATATATGGGGTCCAGTAGGAGTCATCTGGCCACAGCGCCCAGCACTGCACCTCCCCATTGGAGAGTGTCCTTTTCCCAAATATGATCAGTGTGGGGATGGAGAACAGGAACGAGAGGCTCCAGGCTATCCCAATGAGGACTTTGGCTTGCTTCTCTGCTTAAAGAAAAGAGAAAGATGTCTGAGCACCTGGAAACAAACATGCTTGGGGAGCACACAAGGGCCACTATAGAGACTGATTTGTGACAGCCACTGGGACCTGTCAGTGTCCCCAGAAGCCTCAGTTTCCTCATAGGGAAATGGGTGTGACCCTTCTGCTGTAGGGTAAAGCTCCCATGTGGGGGTACAGGCCCACATGTATCCCACTATACACAGCTCCACGATTCTTCTTTTAATCTCATTTAGCTGGCTGGTACAATTTCCTCTCCCCATGTTTAAACTTTGCAATTCTTTAATTAGCAGTCAAAATGAACACTTCTGTGTGCCTCCTAATTATTTCTTTGTTTCTTGATCTGTACTCATGTTTTTTCTATTTTTTTCAGTCGATGTTCTTATGTCTTTGCCAAAATTGTCATAAGAAAGATATTAGCTCTTCGTCTTTTGATTTTTTCTCACCCATGTGTCCCTGTGCTCTATCTAGTTCATGGTTTTTATTTGTATAAATCATTTAGGACCTTGATGAAGTGACAAATGGTTTCCTTTACTGCTTCTACTTTCAGCATGGTTCCTAGAAAGTCCCTTTCCTTGTTAAGATGACGGAAGGTTTGTCATTATGTTCTCTTAGGCCTTCGTATTTGAATGACTGGCTTTTCTGGTCCAACAGGGTCTGTTTTTAATTAGCTGTGACATGGGGAATTAATGTTTTCAACTGGCTATAGAGCTAGTACAGTATTATGTATTAACAAACCTGTTCTTTTCCAATGGATTTGAAGGTTTATTTGCTCTCTCTCTCTCTCTCTCTCTCTCTCTCTCTCTCTCTCTCTCTCTGTGTGTGTGTGTGTGTGAATTCTTTGGGAGCATTTTAAATGCATTATATATTTTCTCCAGTTTAGCTTTTGTCACATTTAAAAGATACCTGATTTCTGCCTGTCTTTCGAGTGATATTTCAGTTTCTATGGGTGTATGAGAAGGCTAGAGACCCATGAGGCCAGGTCTGCCTGTGTGCAGAGCAGAGGGCAGCTATCTGGTCCTCTACAGTGCTCACTGCCAATCACTGATGGCTCCTGGGAACCCACAGAATCTCTTCATCAGCAGCATCTTCAAGCTCCTCCCCCTGGAAGCAGGCTTCCACCCCTACTGTCTGGTCAGAAAGTGCAGAACACAGGAGCTGGCTGTGGGTGAGCCTTCATGGTGCCTCCATACCTCTGGACTCCCAGCTTCCTGGGCTCTGCCTCCCCTCCTGCACGTGCACTGGACACCCTCAAGAAACACTCCTAGCACTACTCATTATGTGAGCGCCATCTGCTTTTTTCTTTTCAGGATCCTGGACTAAGGAGGAAGTTCCTTTGTTTTCAGTAAATTAACAACACTTTTCCAGTTTTGTGGATTTGGGTTAAGGAAAGCCAGGTGTTTGTTTCTTGAAAATGAAGAACATGAAGAGACAATACATATTTCATTGTAAGGGTATGCTTGCTGCCAGGGCTGTAAGGGACTAGGTGGAAACACATCCCTGAGGTGAAGAGCCACAGCATGGGGCCACCAAGGAGTTCTCTAATGGGGCCAGGATCAGGTAGCATTCCCCAGACACCCCAACTTTCTTTGTGTATATGTGGACACCCAGACCATTAGGCAGTGAATGAAGAGGAGAAAGAGAACAAAGAGAAGAGAAAGAAAAGAAAGGCATGGTTGGAGGAGAGAAAAATATTAATAAAATATTAACAAAAAATAATCCCACTCCATGAAAGGATCTTTATGAAAGAATGCTTGCTCACCTCCTTGAAGAAACTTCATGGGGTAAACGATGGCATGGTATCTGTCTATGCTGAGGGACACCAGGACGTAGGTAGAGGCATAGAGCAGGACAACCTAAGGCAGGAAGCAGAGGACACCTGTGACTTCAGATGGGAGAGGTAACGCACATAGCATTCTTGCTATTTAGAGACCAGAGGCTTGAACCAAGGTGTTGGTGAGGGCTGAGAGAGAGAGAGGCACTGTCGGGCCCTCCCTGCTGGAAGCAGATCTGGGTTTTGCTGCTGGACTTTGCATTGCTACCAGAGAGAGAGGGAGAATGGTCACGGCTCCCTCAGTGCATTCACTGGCTTCTTGGAAATTCCAGATTTCGGGATCAGCCCCTCTTGACATTTGCTTGGTACATTTATCTGTAATTGACTTTTAAAGCTAACCTAATTTTCTCTGCCACAGTTGACATTCCAGAATCATTAGAAACAAAAGTCCATTTGCCTTTTATCAGTGAGAGTAGGTGAGAGGTGAAAGAGGGGTTCTGGTTTCCGGGAGTCCATCCACACGCTGTTCCAGTCATTTACCCCAGCACCACTCTTGGAGAGCTCACCCCTTCCTCCAGGGCTCTAGTAGAGCTGTATGTGGCCTGAGCTTCCGAGCCTGGCTTCCCTCCTCCTACTCGCCTTTGGCTAACCTGATCCACACCCTCTACATATCACGGACACAGTCTTATTTGCCTTCTCTGTAGAGGAAGAAATTGGGATGTAAGCTAATATCTCTTCAGTGACAGGTTCATATTTAGAATATTATAAGATTAAATATGTCAGTAAGTCTGATCTCAATGGAAATTTTTGGAGTAACCTAAGCCAGTGAGATATTTCCTTTTGTGGATGAATATAGGGGCCATAGAAGATGGGAGTGTAGGGGTGAGAGTCTGGCTTTCTCTTTGGTGATCGTATTTGTTTGGAGTTTGTATCTTTGTTGTTCTTTCAGTAGCTCAAACAAATTACAATTGCATTATAATCAACTATAGTAGATCAACCCATTATAGTTGCACTTCAGCTTAGGTTACTATTCAGTTAGAGCTATTGCTACCTGAAATGTACTCATTTGATAGAGCCTTTGAGAACACTAATGTCCTGTGAACATCATAGCTTACCCTGCTTTACATATGTTGAGAACACTTATATTAGCCTCCAATCAGGCAGAATCATCACACACAGCCTATCTCATACTACAAAGTTGGTTAGCTCCTGTGCTGAAAGCAAAAACCCTGATTACAAGGGCGTCCTATCACACATTCTAAAAATCACACACTGGGTCATCAGAAGTCAGGAGCATCTGTGTCATTCTTTATTTTATTTTTATCTCTATAACATAACCACAAACACATTCCAGAATTAATGTTGCAGGGAGAGGGTTGGAAAGAATGACCAGAGATGGATGCCCCATCCCCTGAAGGACATCAAAAGAAATTTTCTTGTATAAAAAGTAACCAAAGGAGAAACTGAAAGAGTTTGATTAAGTTTAAAGAAAAAAGTCAGACCAATGCCTCCTTCAAGAGAACTGGTGTTCTGTGTGTGAGCCGTGGATTTAGAGTGGCCTGGGCTGACCACATGGTGCCAAGAAGGTGGCATGAAAGGATGGGGGGGGCAGCAGGGGAGAAGATCGTAATGGTCAGTTTCTAAGAGTCTTGAACATCTGTGTTGTCCTGAGGGAGGTGGTGCCACAGTTCAGAATCTGGGATGGGAAGAAAAGTCACTGAAAACAGATTTTTAGGGCTGCGGGCAATATTAACAAAGATGATACTAACATTGAGACATAGCTGAAAAGAGTATTTAACTTTGGAGATGAAACATCTTCAAACATCTAGGTGGTACAGTAAAATAAAATAAACGTATCTAAAAGAAATACATCACAAATTATCATGCTTCTCTATAAAAAAGCAAATGCCAGAGAATGTGTTCAGGATTTTGAAAGAAAAGTTGTGATCCAAGAATTTTGTAAATTTAATTTCAATGCCAATGCACAGAACAGCTTTTTTTGGATATGTATGAAGGAAGGAAATGTAACACCCCCCCCTTTCCAAAATCCTCATGAGGAAACTGAGTAAGAACTGTTTCAAAATTAAGAAGAAAGGGGATAAAACAACAATGTCATATAAGGAAGACATCAAAAAAACAAGATGCTTACCAGATAGTTAGGAATATAAACATGGAATGAATATTCCAGGGAAGAATCTGGAGAGTTGTGTGAGGGGAAAGTATAAGAGTGAGGTGTTGTTAAGTCCTCACTTGGATATTTATATAGTTTTTTTTTATTAAGAAAAAAAGCTCATTTTACATATCAAAGATCCCCTCTCTTCATTCCTCCTGCCCTTCCAGCCTCCCCCTCCCAGCCCACCCCCCCCCATTCCCCTTACAAGAAGGCAAGGCCTCCCATGGGGAGGTACATTCAGCAGAGGCAGGTCCAAGCCCCTCCCCCTGCCTCAAGGCTGTTTAAGGTGTCCCATCATAGAAGTGGGTTCCAAAAGGCCAGCTCATGCACAAGGAATGGATTCTGATCCTACTGTCAGGGGGCCCCTCAAGCAGATCATGTTACACAACTGTCTTGCTATGCACATGACCTGGCCCAGTCCCATGGAGGCTCCACAGTTGTTGATCTAAATTTCATGAGTTCCCACTAGTTTGGTTTGGTTGTCTTTGTAGGTTTCCCCATCACGATTTTGATGCCCTTTGCTCATAGAATCCCTCTTCTCTCTTCAACTGGACTCATGGAGCTTGGCCTAGTGCTTGGTTGTGGATCTCTGCATCTGCTTCCATCAGGTACTGGAGAAAGGCTCTATGATGACAGGGTATTCACTGATCTGATTAACTGGGGTAAGCCAGTTCAGGCACTCTCTCCACTATTGCTAGTAGTCTAAGCTGGGGTTATCCTTGTGGATTCCTGAAAACTTCCCTAGCACCCAGTTTCTCACTATCCCCATGATGTCTCCCTCTGTCATGGTATCTCTTTCATTGCTCTCCCACTCTGTCTCTTCCAGCTTGACCATCCCGTTCCCTTATCTTCTCATCCCCCATCCCCTACCCTCCATTGCCCACCTCTCATCCTCAGTTTACTCATGGAGATCTCATCTATTTCCCCTTCCCAGGGAGATCTAGTCGTCCCTCTTTGGGTCCTCCTTGTTAGCTAGCTTCTCTGGAGTTGGGGGTTGTAGTCTGGTTATCCTTTGCTGTAAATGTAAATGTAATTTTAGTAAATTACTAAAATGTAATTTTAGTAAATGTAAATTTAGTATCTACTTATGAGTCAGTACATAGCATGTTTGTCCTTCTGAGTCTGTGTTACCTCACTCAGGATGCTATTTATATAGTTTTCTATCTGCCATTGATAGAGATTACATCTAAAGACAAAGGGAAGTTACAATGAAGTAAACTTAAAATGGAGAAAAATGAATTTCTCTGCCTTCTGTGGTTACTGTGGCAATAGCCACAGGCTCGGTGGCTTAGAAAGCATCAGTTTATTTCTCTCACAGCTTTGGAGACCAGCAATCTAATACAGGTCTACTAGCCCCAAATCAAGATGTTTGCAGGGCTATGCCTCCTCTGAAGACTCTGGGGGAGAATCCATGCCCAGTGTCTGAGCTTCAGGCTGCTGCCAGCATTCTACCCTTGTGGCCTTCAATGCAATCCTTCCCTCATGCTACAGTTGCTCCTCTTCTGCTTGTATGTCAGATCTGTATTTTCCTCTTACGATTACATTTTAGGATTTCCTGAATTAATTTAGGAGAATCCCACATTTCTAATCCTTAGTCACAATGCCAAATCCCTTTCTGTCACATATGGTGGGTAGCAGGCATAGGCTCCCAGAGTTAAGGTGCAGATGTCCTGGGAGAAAATTATTTTAGATTCCCGTAATTACTAACTACATCTGAAACAAATACTCAAAGAGCAAGACTTCAAAGAGAACAGTGACAACAAGTTACTGGGATAATACTAGGCACTGTTTCCCCTTGTAAATATAAATGGCCTGATCTCTTTCATTCAAACAAAGACTATTCAAAACAAAAACCTTCCCCATGGTCTAATTGTATTCTATTCAGTATAGAAACCAATAAAAACAAATATCATTGAAATTTAAAAACAAAAGAGTGGTCGGGGCATATCAAACAACTAATACAATTTAAAAGGCCTTTATTAAAATACTGCATGATACCAATCAAATTCAAAGCTAGCTGCATCCTATGTGACAAGGTGATAAAAGATATAACACATAATGGTGTTAGAATACTGATAAACTTAGATGTAATAAGTGATGTAACATTAAATATATATAACAAAAATAAATGTTCAAGGCTTTACAGCTAAAATTGCCTACAGAATGCAAACAGGAAAAATTGAGCTCCATAGTACAGAATGCAAAATATCTAGACTCTAGACGACATAAAAAAAATTTGGTCAGATACCGAGTTACCAACAAAGAAAAATTGTCATAGAATCCAAAAAGTGGGCTGTATTCAACTCACATATCTCAAACAAGTGATGAAGCTGAAATAAGTAACATTTAAAAAAATATCACTTAGAAATTTAAACATCTTCCTAATTAACTCAAGCAAAGAAGGAAATCACAGTACAATTATAGTCAATTCATAAATGTCAACAATGGGAACTCTATACACCAACAGCATATGGGGTGCCATTCAGAGAGCAGATGGCTGCCGGAGGACAAGTCAGCCTTCTTGCCACCCCACCCCCGACTCTGACAGACATGACCCAGGGAATGTGACATGCAAGGGAATTCTGCAAAGAGAAGTGAGACTCGACTTCTGGGAGCAGAGTGATTTTACTCAGAAAAATGCCAGATTGTGTTCATGTACACTAGTATTCTTGGACTGACTTTAAAATCATGTCCTTTGTGCTTTAGAGAAAGTTTAGTTTACGAAATCCTATAAACAGTACAGAGAATTCCTGTGCTGCCCACATCACATTTACACATATCCACTGCTGTCAATATCTGGCATTGGTGTGGCATTAAACTGATTGATTAGTCTTGATATATTATCAATAACTAAGGTTCAGTCTTCATCACTATGTTCTGCAGGCTTTGACAGTGGAGTGATGGCACAT